AGTGTATGTATGGTCATGTCTATGGCATGGTCATGGCGGTATATGTTAAAGCCATTGTCATGGCTGCAAGAAAGAGTACTGTGTCGTTATGCAACCATGACTGTATTGATAATCATTGTCATGGCAACGCGTACGATATATAATAAACATGCGTGCGTGACGTATACATGTATATATATAATAAATATATATAACATGCATGTGGTCATAGTCATGGTCATTGCAGAAATAAATGAATTACAATATCAATAAAGGCCATGGTCATGGTCATGGTAGAGATAAATATATATGTAATATATAAATATATATATATATATATATATTAGTGATTTACAATGATATGGTATTATTTTCAGATTCATGTATGCATGGTGCAACATGTTAAAGCTTGTGTGGGCATGTATCATGGGCCCAGTCCTTGTCCACGTTGCACTTCTTTAAAAGTTCTCGCAGCTCATCACGGCCCCGTCCTTTGTCAAGGTACTTCTCATAGATCTCCTTTGGAACGTCCACCGAGCCATCAGCCTTTGGGGTGCACATTCTCCGAAGAGTGGCATCCAGCCGAGCCTTTTCCTTCTTATCCTCCAGATCAACTGGAATTTTTTGGCTGACGGGCTGCCACTTGACAAGTGTTCACCCTAGCTGGCTGCGGAGCGGTTGCTTCTTTGGTGTGCTGGGGCATGTCCTCCACATCAACCTTTGAAGGTGACCGCATTGCGCCAATGAGTTCGGCCAAATAGCCATGAACATCACTTCCCTCATCGTCTTCAGGAAGCATGTACTCATCCACCGTCGCAGCGTCATGTTCACCAAAAAGCATCTGCTCGGTCACCTCACCCTCAAACAGCTCAGAGGTCGGGCGGTCAGGTCCCAGATTCTCAAGACTGCCTGGAATAGTTTCCGCACCCCAAATCGACGCACTGTCCGTGACGTCCTCAACTCGGAAGAGTTCCTCTTCGCTCCAATAGATCTCATATGGCTGTACATTCGGCTGACGGTCGCCATCACCATCTTGCTGAGATTGAGAAACAGGCTCATACACCTGATAAAGAGGGACCTCCGGCGCTGGCAACTCATCTGCTGGAGGCGTATGGTCAGGCGACGGAACCGCTGGGTGCGAATCTTCAGGCACACGCACAGGTGAAGCCTCTGGAGCCCCATCTACATGCTCCACCACCTTCGCTTGTGGAGTGGCTTGCTGCCTCATCCGTGCACGCTCTAGCTCATCCAATTCTTTCTGCGCTTCCTTGACACAAGCGTGCAAAAAAAAACATGACAGATATTGGAATGCGCATGCATGACTGCGCGCACGCATTACCCTACAGCATGTGCAAGAAGAGTGCAGCCAAATTTCAGCCAGCAGTTTGTCGTCCACCTCTCCCAAATCCTCCAGCTTCACACCGCCAGCATCCAAGAAGGACACACCAGCAAGCAAAGTCTCAGCTGAGGTACCTTCAGCTGGCATGGCCACAGCGGTACCTGGACTTGCTGAAGCCACCTGTTGTTAGAGCCACAAGCTGATGGCAGCAACTTGACATGTTACATTCACGCCGTGCATGTCAGAAGCATCCTCCCTCACAAAACAACATGAGACGCGCGCAGCGTGCACCTGAAAGTGAAAGTGGCAATTATTTTTTGGTAAATTCCAAAAGTAGAAAACCTACGGTTTTTTACGCAACTTTACGCTTTTTTACGCCACTTTACGGTTTGTTTTTTT